TATTTACATTCCCAGTGTCGCTCCCGGAGTCTTCCTTTTTACGTCAGAGGAATCTTCAGAAGTAATTCGAGTAACCAACCTTCCTTTCATGGTCAGGTGTGGCAAAAAATTTTCTTAAATCCTATCAACAGTTGTTTCTTTCAATTTTTTTTTAAAGGGGAAAAAAGGGTATCTCTTGCAGGGCTCCTTGCCATCGCCCGCTGTTTGTGAGGCGAGGGTCCCCACAAAATGCCCAGGGAAGGAAGAGCCGCGGGGCCATGGTCACAGCCGCCGCCACTCCGTTCCCCTATCACCACAGACTCTCAACCACATCCCACACCTATGACGGACCTGGGTTCCTCAGAGCACCTTACCTGAGAACTCCCAGCCCCTTCCCTGCTGCAGGAGTGTTATGGATTGAACTGTGTACCCCAAAAACCTGTGCTGTAAATACTAACCCCTATACCTATGATTTGAAAACCCTGGTGGCGTAGTGGTTAATTGCTACGGCTGCTAACCAAAAGGTCGGCAGTTTGAATCCACCAGGTGCTCCTTGGAAACTCTATGGGGCAGTTCTACTCTGTCCTATAGCGTCACTATGAGTCGGAATCGACTCAACGGCAGTGGGTTTTTATACCTATGGTTGGAGCCCTGATGGCACAGTGGTTAAGAGCTTGGCTGCTAACCAAAACATCAGCAGTTCGAATCCACCATCCACTCCTTGGAAACCCTATGGGGCAGTTCTACTCTGTCCTATAGGGTTGCTGTGAGTCGGAATCAACTAGATGGCAATGGGTTATACCTATGGTGGAGGAGTCCTGGTGGCACAGTGATCAAGCGCTCGGCTGTAAATCAAAAGGTCAGCAGTTCGAACCCACCAGCCTTTCTGAAGGAGAAAGATGTGGCAGTCTCCTTCCCTAAAGATCAGTCTTGGAAACCCTATGGGGCAGCTGTACTCTGTCCCATTGGGTTGCTGAGTCAGATTCAACTCAGTGACAGTGGGTTTGGGTATAACTATGGTTATAATGGAGCCCTGGTGGCGCGGCGGTTAAGAGTTCAGGCTGCTAACTAAAAGGTCAACAGTTCAAATCCACCAGCCCCTCCTTGGAAACCCTATGGGGCAGTTCTACTCTGTCCTATAGGGTTGCTGAGTCAAAATCAACTGGACGGCAACAGAAAGCCTTCTCCTGGAGCTGGCAGCCTGAATTCGGACTTCTAGCCTCCTAAACTGTGAGAGAATAAATTTGTTAAAGCCATCCACTTGTGGTATTTCTGTTACAGCAGCACTAGAAGACTAACATATCATTCAAGATCAAATCTCATGAGCCAGGCAGTATGAGGCGCACATTGCAAATTTTCCTCACAACAAAGGGTGACTACAGAATAATGAGGAATTCTGCACGGTTCATAAATTGGTTCCAAAAGCAGCTGCAGAAATACAAACATATTCTGGCTGAAAGCAGCATGTGTGGACTGACAGCCACTATTCATCGGACAATGTGCAAAGCGCTGTGCAATGCAGCACATACATTATCTTGGGTATTTCTCATGAACACCCTGTGAGATAGGTATGATGTCTACAGCTTACACAGCAAATGAGCTGAATGCCCGTGACCGCTCTGCCAGGGAGCAGCCAAACGAGTTTGTCTCACACGAGACAGTCCGTCTCACACAAGGACCACCTGGACAGGGATAAAGCTGTTCTCCATGCATGAGATCAGGCAGACAGCTCATCAAAAGGAAGCAGTCACTTTATTTTCTAATCACATACAGTATCTGTGATATCACTATGAAAACAAGTGTCTCTCAACAATTTTTGCAGCTTGCTGATTCTGCTAAAATGTCTTCAGAAAAGTATTCTCAGTGAAGTCGTCCAACAAGCCCTCTGAAACAAAACACCCAATGAGATGAGATGTTGGCTACACTTGTGCAGACTGCACTTCTCGGACTATCCTACAGATACATAAGCTGCACAGACTGGAGCAATGACAGGTTCAAGGTTATCACAGTAACAGCAAAACACAGCGTAAATGTTCACGAGATTATTATTTAAATTATGGAATATCCATTCCAGAGAATCTTATGCAGTAAAAACAGATGAAGTTCCCTGTTCCTTACATAATAATACGGACTAAGCATCATTTAAAAAAAAGGGGCAGGGACAGACGTCGATGTATGGTTGTTGCCATTTGTGTAGAAATACCCACGTACCCACACGTGTATCTGTTCACGCACAGAATCTTTCTAGAGAATACAGGAAACTGGTAAGAGTGATCGCCTCTGAGGAGAGAAACAAGAAGCTCAGGACAGGGGTGGGAGAGGCCCTTTTCACTAAATCGCTTTTGTATCTTGACTCCTGGAAAAAGTTACCTATTCAAACTTTTTTTCAATTTATTTAAAGAAAATACAGACTGATTATACATTTGACAAACTGCAAGGGTCATTTCCGATTGCAGGAAAAAACATAAATTGCAGAGAGAAGCAGAACTCCTTCTTGAGGTATTGATTTCATTATATATTTGGGCCATATTTTCCTTATGAGATTCTCTCTAAAGTTATTATGTAAATACGTATTTTTTAACAGTGTGAAAGGGCCTAAAATTTCCCTTACAACTTCTCATTTTCTCATCAAGTAACATCAAATGCACTTGTAATACCTCACCCTGAGCATGATTCTTTTGAGGCACAAGAGCCAGATCAACAGACTGAACTCCACTGAGGATGAGGACCACGGCTTTATGTATTTTTAATTCCCCAGATTCTAACAACATTCTCAGAATATAGTTACTCAGTTAGTGAATGGTAAATTGATTTACTGCTTAAATGAGCAAACATGGAGCTGCCTAACCACAGAAGAAAATAAATGGGTAATGCATTAGAAACCAGCTTCCAGATAGTAATTTTAATTACTTTGAAACAACATCATTTATTACCAAAGGGTTACCAAGCACCTATTATAACTGCTGTAACTGTGAAATTAGCATTATTTGTATCTGATCAGCTTTATAAACCTCATCAAGTTTTCTTTTGAAAAAGGTAGTAGAAATTCCAAAGAACAAAGAGGAGGCTACTAACTGAAGATCGCGTTTACTGATCTAGCACCATAATCCAGTCTTAGGGTCTCCCAAGCAGCTGGAAGAAGGGTGGGGAGAAGTGAGGATGTGGGGAAGGTATGGGGCGCTCTTAACTGGTGACCCCATTTTTGCTCTAAGGCAACTCAGGGTCTATCAAAGAATCTGGCGAGGCTGTGATGGGAACAGGAGCCTTTGGTTCAAAGGTGAGAAGACCTTCAAGGACGGTCCGATCGGTGTATCCACGGACAGTGGAGTCACCTCATGAGCTAGGTGGCTTCTTCTTGGCCTCCAAGTCCTTCTTAATTTCTTCAAGTTTTTTGGCCAGGTTTGGAATCTTTAAAAAGAAAAAAGATGATGATAATTTTGCATCTACCTAATACAGGTAGTTCTTGACTTACAACAGGATTCCGTTCTGACGACTCTGTTGTAAGTTGGTTCTGATGTAAGTTGAATACCTCTTTTTTTTTTAGTTTTCATTATTATTGCCTTTTGTTACCAGTATCTTCATAAACCCAATCTTTATTTTTCAGCATCGGTGTCGTAACAATGAAGTCAGAGTTGTAACGGCTGTCGGGCACGTGCGCAGTTCAATTGTCACATGTCGTTAGAGCTAACATTGCCCAACTTTCTATCTGTCACAACTCCCTACCCGACACCAACACAGTCTTCATCGCAGACCAGGCCACAGCCTGCTATACAGCAATGTTTTGATGAGTAAATCCTAACAACGAACACCTGTAAGGGAACAGCTGAGAATAATAATATCAGCAAATTCTCTGCTACAACATTGTATGTAGTACATATTACTAATGATAAGATTACCAAAAAAAATAAAAATAAAACACCGTCTTAAGCGCGGTTCATCAGAACTCGAATACGTTGTAAATTGGGGATTACCAGTATTCTACTGTTTGTCTTCCTCCAAAGATAAATGGGCTTATGAGTTTTTATTTTCCTCTGAAAGCAACCTGCTACACAGTGGTATCTGTCAGCCTTGTAACTGTATCACAAGGATATCGGAGGCTGTCAGTTAGTATGCTCCCTCCCAGGAAGTACATACCAATTTCTGCTTTTATGTTCCCACTTACCCCCAATCCACTGCCAAGTCACAACTGTACATCTAAACAATAAGTGTCATGTAAATTAATAAAGCCCCTGCCTAGAAAACCATCTGACTCAAGTACAGGTGACAAAAGGAATTCCCTTTGGCACAGTAAAGGCTTCCCCACCAAACAAATCATAAATTAGTACGTCTCACACTTCCTTGTCCCTCTGAACAAGTATCACCCGTCCAGTATTCCTATTCTCGGGCAGTGTGTCACCTGGTTTCAACTTCCCCATCTATAAAGGGAGGCTAATACAGACCCTGCTTCACAAAACTCTGTCCTCCCTAAACGTGCTGCCCTATCTAGATCCACCTCCAACGTTCTCTGTGATCGCTACTACTGGGTCAGGGGGCTAGAGTTCATTTTTAAATTCTCATTCGTCATGTGATTTTCCATACAACTTTAAGAAACTACATTACTATTACTCTAGGCTAACAAACCCAGCTTAGGAGCATCCTGAGACCATCTAAACTGGTGGGCTTTTGCCCTCTTGTGGTGATACGGAGGACTGACACTTCGGTGAAGTTACATACGTATTTTTAAACAATACAAAACCTTTCTATAAAATTCAGGACTCTTCCCTCAGACCCATGGACTTTCTTTATGCTGAAAGGCACACCTTACCTCAACAAAGACAAGTCACCATATTACAGTTACATGGGATCAAGAAGGACATGGATACAACCACTTACTTCATAGTTCTGAGCCAGATACATTCCAACGATGTTGCCAAAAGTAAATCCAAGCTGAAAGAACAGAAGAGGAGGAGTTACCCTGGAGAAGGAGTTCTGTGTCCGATCCCAAACGAAACTACATACACAGCAGTCTTATAATGAGCTCAGAGCACTTAGAGGTGTCCAGTCTAGGGCTCTACAGAATGGGAGGGTCATTTTCCTTCTATAAAACAAGTACAGAAATACTTTCCACAAAAAGGTCATTCCAGAGCAGTAAACCAAAAGTAAGAATGGTGGCACTGACAAATCTACTCTAGACTGTCCTCTCATAAGCCATGTAATACTTGACTGTAAGTTCTAAAAACCCAAGCCAAAGTTCAGAGTTTTGTTATTCAAAGCAGCAATTTGCTTTCTATCTTTTTTTGGTTATGGGATAATGCAGGTATTGTTTATCCCTCTCTACATCAAAAGTACTCAATTAAATCACAGGATCTTAGAGAATGAAGGACTTTTGCAGTTCAATCTCTCCCTATTTCAAGAGAGGAACCTGAGGCCAGGACGGTGAAGTGACTTGTCCAGGATCATTCACAAGAGGGACCCCAGGACAGCCTAAATTAGACACACACGCAAAAGCTAGAACACAGGACAACAGAAAAGGAGAAGAAACTGTGCCCCCCGCTGACAGGGCAGCAGCCACCCCTCTGCCATGTGTGGAGTCTCCAGGGAACATGGTCCTACCACGGTGACGAGAGAGAGAGACACGACAGAGAATGATAGATGTTTACCCCATTGGGTGGCTCTTTTCCTGAGCAAAAACTGGTTCATGAAATTGTCAAACCCTTCTTACCGAGCGTAAGGCCGAAGCTCCTGGAGCTTCAAGTTGGAAAGCTGATCTATAATTCCCTGCTGTTCTCTCAGCGATTAAGAACCTCCAACTGGAGGCCTAACTTCGTAAACTGAAACCACCATCAGATGTTTTCTCCTCGTTTTGCTTAGTCAGTGTTGCTCCTTCTCCCACAGAGCAGAGGAGTTAAGATTGGGACAGCACAGGGTGGTGCCCGGAGCATCAGCCCCGCGGGCTGTGGCCCAGCCTCGCCTTCCAGATGGAAATGCACACAGGGACGGCACACAGCGGTCCTTACTAAGCTCACCAGGCTTCCCAACAAGCCATAATTTAGGCTGCTTTATTGCTAGTAATTAAGAAATATAAAAGTCTAGTCTCTAATCAAAGTCCATTTTCTCATCAATTGATTAATCAAACACATCTTGCAAAGTGGTATTTTACCAAGAAGCAGAATGATTTTTTTCACTCCTGTGGGCTGAAACCAGGCAGACAGAGCAGGTTTCCCAAATCCAGAAAGAGTATTATATTTGCTTTAAGGAGGAGAGAAAATTAGCTGAGAATATTAGCTCTAATACCTAGCAGAAAGAACATGGGACTGGAAAAATTTCAGTAAAAATCAACTACAGTTCTGGTTCTCCCAGTATATACCTAGCTCTATGTCTCTGGGCAAGACACTTAACCTCTCTGGAGCTTTGCCGAGTTGAGCCTTCTAATTTATAAAGCATTACACTAACAATGTTCCTAGTTTCTACTTCCTATTCTTACCTTGTGTCTCAAAATAAACATGGCATAGCCACAAAAAAAGGAACTAAATACTGATTCATACTATAACATGGATGAACCCTGAAAACATGCTAAGTGGAAGAAGCCAGTCACAAAAGGCCACATTTGATTCCATGTGTATGAAATGTCCAGAAGAGACAAATCCATGGAGACAGAAAATAGGTTAATGAGTGCCCAGGGCTCGGGGGAGAGGGGAATAATGCCTAGGGGAACGGGTAAGGGTTTCTTTTGGGGGAGTCATGAAAATGGTCCAAAATGAGACAGTGGTGATGGTTTCACAGCTCTGTGAACATGCTGAAACCACTGAATTGTACACTTTAAATGGATGAATTGTGTGGTATGTGAATTATATCTCAATTATGCTGTTATAAAGAAATCAGTAAGATTTGGTAAAATGTCAGTTCCACGGGATAAAACTGTGGAAATCAAAGACTGCCTCAAAGGTTTCCAGACTGGACAAATGTTTGAAAAGAATGGAAATGTCAGAAGTGGGAAGTGATGGCATGCTGATAAATGGTTGGCTCTGTGCAGATTTCCCACTACCCTGTACATTGTCAGCTGACTTTTTTATGTATGGATACATGTGAGCAGGATATGCACAACATTTTGCCTATTAATATAAAAAAGCTCTAAGTCTTAAAAAAAATAAAATAAAAAGCGAACTCCATAGCAACCTGACTCCTCTGACAATTAGCTCAAACCCCTCCCCCTCCCCCAATCAAAAAGTTGTTATGTATGAAGCTCAGCAAAAAAAAGCTACAGTTTTCTTTTGTTTTTTAAGCTACAATTTTTATTTCGGGATGGCTCCTGGCAGTAACCCAAAGTGAACACTACCTGAGAAGTCTCAAATATGACTCATCAAATTCCATTTTCCCAAACTACACACCCAAACCCAAGTTATGACACCGAATCTGAACCATTTTATATTTACTGTCAAGGGTTTAAAAAATCTAAAAATAATCTTGTTTACCAAATATAGCAATAACTAGCATTCGAAACGACACCTAAAAATGATCTCGGGTCGGAGGTGAGAAATGCTATACACCGACAAGAAAGCCAAAAAAACACATTATCTAACATGAATAAAAGATAAACTTTTATTTCTCAATTTCAGTTTCAGCTAGAGAAGCAGTCAGAAGCTCTCTCCATTCCAAGGGGAAAGGAAAAAACAATTCACCTTCTTTTGTGCCTTAGTCTTTCTTAGTCCCTGCGCGGTGCAAACTGTTAACGCGCTTGGGGCTGCTAACCCAAAGGTTAGAGGCTCAAGTCCACCCACAGCCACCTCGAAAAAAATCCTGGTGATCTGCTTCTGAAAAATCAGCCACTGAAAACCCTGTTCTGCTCTGACACACGTGGAGTTGCCGTGAGTTGGGACAGATTCCATGGCAACTGGTTTTAGTTTTAAACACTTAAAGGCCTGGTGTGGAGAACATTATCAAATGTATTTAACAACTCCTTCAAGTAATAAAATCCGCATTATGTACATGGAAGAATGGCATGGTGTGGGCGTCTGACCTCCTCATTCAACTTTACAAGGCGGGAGGAGAATCATTATCAGCATCAACAGTCCAAGGCTGAATGCTATGAGGTGGAGGTCAGACATACACCTCCACCCGCCAATATTTTTACCAGTTCTGACATAGCCGTCCCTCCTACGGCATTCTACTTTTCTGCTGGGTTCGGTAATTCGTTGCAGTGGCCATTAAGAGCTCACAGACCGTACTCACAATTATGGGGCTCATTAGGGAAGTAACAGGTTACAATTTAGGATAAGGAACGACTCAGGATACAGTTCTTTGATCAGGACAGCCTCTTCTCAGCTGTGCCCACAGGCAGGCCTCTCTCTGCCCTGCTCGGGCAAGTGTTACAAAGCTCTTTAGCTCCACCAATAAGTGCCCGGAGGCATCCCACTCTGCCACACAGCCTTGGCCCACCTCGGCCCGAAGGCACTCAGCTCTCTTGCTCCATGGGTCAGCAAGCCTAGCTATGTCGACAAGTGCCGAGAGGCATCCCACTTCACTAGGAAGCCTTCTCCCCAAAGGCACTCAGCTTTCTCAATCCATGGGTCGGTACACCCACTGTAACCACCTTGCTCCACAGGCTGGGAAGCCCACTGAGCTCTCTCACGCCAGTCTCCTGGTTCTGCTGCCACTATTTCTCTGCCACTTTTGGCCATCTTGCACCATCTCCAGCGTTACAGCTCTGTCTCCTGGGTCTAGGAGGTTCTCAGTGCAGGGACCCCGGGTCCAAAGGACACTCGCTGCTCCTGTTTCTGCTTCTTGGTGGTAGTGAGGTCCCCTTTTTCCGACTCTGGAATGGCTCATTTTAAGCCTAGAGGGATGGCAAAACTAACCAATCCCCTCATTAGGGTTCCATACACCTTACATGTATGGTCCCTCCCCTATAAGGGAGCCATGCATCTTATTTGTATTACTGCAAGCTGTTCAATCCCCTTGGTGGGCCACAAGGACCTTATCTGCACAGTCCCACCCAATCTTTCGGTGGAAGTTACAAGACCATGGCTAGAAAGGCCATATAAAAGTGATCCATTGTACCACAGTACATTAACATGAAAATCAGCTGAGGATGTAATGTACATCCCTTGTACTACCACCCCAGAGAAGAACATTTTTAAGAGGTAAGCTAGGGTTTATATTCAATAATTTCCCTTAGAGAATCAAGGGGAAAAAAATAAAAAACAAAAAAAGCTGTCAGTTCTTTAATTTAGCCAGTAAATTGAATAGGGACATTCATTAAAAAGCCATAGCACTGTAGAAAAGGTGCATCAATCAAGTTGAACTGGTTGCCTGTTCTCAAAGAGTCAGGTTCAAATATTCAACTTA